CCTCCCACATCCACACACACCCTCTCTCTCTCTCTCCCCCCCCCTTCCTCCCTCCCTCCCTCTCTCCCTCTCTCCCTCTCTCTCTCACTCACTCACTCAAATGAACACACATGTTTTCCTACCTTTCTCTGGTCCCATATGTCCTACCCCACCCCACCCCTCACTTCCCACATAGCCAATGCCAGGGGGCGCCTTTCCTGCTCAGGAAAATGGAAAGGGCTGTTTCCTTGCGACTCCTGCCACCTCCGCTTCCCCACCCCCGTTGGTCAGTCTGCCCACCCACCCGGTATGGGAGCCTGAGGGAGCACTGCACTAGAGGTGAAGGGGTCCCTGTCCCCAAGGAGGTTCCTGTGGGTAGCAGCCCCCCTCCTCAGCCCCACCCATCCCCTTATTCCCACTGTGCACAGGGAGTATGTGTAGATCCTGCCACGTCCCAGCACTGTGGGCCCAGTGCTCCAGGAGCCCAAGGGACTCCTCAGCTCCCCCCAGTCCACAGCCTGGCGTCTGAAGGGCAGGGGGAGGCAGAATTTAGTTACTTTTTCAGGCTGAATTATATTCCATGTCACCTGCTGATGGACATTTGCATTATTTCCACCTTTTAGCTATTTTGAATAGTGTTGCTAAAAAAATGAGTGTATAAGTGTTTGTTTGAGTCCCTGCTTTCAGTTCTTTTGGGTATATACCTAGGACTGGAATTGCTGGACCCTTTGGTAATTCTATGTTTAACTTTTTGAGGAACCAACATATTGTTTTCTTCAGTGTCTGTGCCATTTTACATTCCTATCAACAGTGAACAAGGGTTCCATTTTCTCTACTTCTTGTCAACACTTGTTATTTTTTATTTTTTTTTAAATTATAGCCATCCTAATGGGTGTGAGGCCATATCTCATTGTGGTTTTAACTTGTATTAGTGATGTTAAGCATATATTTATATGATTATTGGTCATTTGTATATCTTTGGAGAAATGTCTATTCCAGTTATTGGCTCGTTTTTGTGTTGAGTTGTTTGCTTTTTGTTGTTGAGTGGTAGGAGTTGTTTCTGTATTCTAGATATTAATCCCTTATCAGATATATGATTTGCAAATATTTTCTTCTATTCTTTGGGTTCTCATTTCACTTTCTGGATGAGGGCCTTTGATGCACAGATGTTTTTAATTTTGATGAAGTCCAATTTATCTGGGTTTTTTTTTCTTTTGTTGCCTGTGCTTTTGGATTTATTTATCCAATAAATCATCACCAAATTCAGTGTCATAAAGATTTTACCCATCTGGGCCGGCATGGCTCAGTGGTTGAGTGTTGACCTATGAACCAGAAGGTCACAGTTCAATTCCTGGTTAGGGCACATGCTTGGGTTACAGGCTCAATCCTCAGTGTGGGGCATGCAGGAGGCAGCTGATCAATGCTTCCCTCTTATCATTGATGTTTCTATCTCTTTCTCCCTCTCCCTTCCTCTCTGAAATCAATAAAAAATATTGATTTTACCCTGTTTCCATAAAGGGTTTTATCATTTTAGTTCTTACATTTAGATCCTTGATCTATTTTAATTTTTGTGTATGGCATAAGGTGAGTATCCACATTTATGCTTTTGCATATGAATATCAGTTTTCCCAGCACCATTTGCTTAAAAGATTGTCTTTTTTCCATTGAATAGTCTTGGCACCCTCATAAAAAATCTATTAATCATCGCCCTGGCCAGGTAGCTCAGTTGGTTAAGATACCTCCTGATATGCCAAGGTTTTGGGTTTCATCTCTGGTCAGGGCACATGAAAGAAGCAACCAATGAGTGCATAAATAAGTGGAACAACAAATAGGTCTCCCTCCCTCCCTCTCTCCTTCCCTCCCTCCTTTTTCTCTTACCCTTCCTATCTCTCTCTCTCAAATCAATAAAAAAATTTAAAAACAACTTATTAACCATCTATGCAAGGGTTTATTTCTGGGCCCTCTATTCCATTGGTCTGCATGTCTGTCCTTACGCCACCATCATACTGTTTTGATTACTATTCCTGTGTAGTAAGTTTTGAAATCAGGAAGTTGAGTCCTTCAGCTTTGTTTTTTCCCAAGAC